AAAATGGTTATTGTGGGTTATCCCTAAGAGATAGACATATACCATCGCGGACTTTTTTGTAGACCCTTTTAAGATGTACAATATTGTAGTACATTATTTTAATCTATCTCGTAGGGTTCAGCCAGCGTTTGCAATGTAAGTGCAAAAAATGTGTTTATTTACGACATCACATTAGAAACCTCTAAAATTATCAGTGTTTCCTTACTATATTATTAATGTATTATACATATAAACCTTCCTCTTGAATCACTCTATCTATTAAAAAAAAACGCATCAAAATCCGTTGCGTAGTTTTAAAGATTTAAGCATACATAGGGACAGACAGCGGGAAAGCGACTTTATTTTACACTATGTAGTGATTACACATTTCTTTGCTTTCCCTTACTTTTTTTACCAAAATTTTCTTGTATTTCCCCGGAGATTGATTTTGCACGAAAAAGGTAGACCTTGTTTTGTTTACTTATCCATAGGTATTTAAAAAAATTTTCACAGTACAAGTAACAAGTACTAATTTAGTAAATTAAACAAAAATCCCCTTTTCCTTCATCTGGCTCTAAATTCCTTAGATCTAGAGACAGCGCTGGCCAAAAATCGAACGTGTTAGTGAACATCTCTCTCCTCCTCATACGAAAGAGAGAGAGCTGACAAGGTAAATTTCGATTAGACTGCCATCTGTTGAATACATAGTTGTTTTAAAATTTCCATTTTATATGAACAGATGGCTGAAAGAATTGGTATGATATTTCCTGCACCACACGTCGAATTTTTCAAAAGAAAATGCCAACTCGCCACTGCTGTATATATGCCCATACGTATAGATCGTCCACGTCAATACATAGAAACTTATTTCGACAAATGCAAACATAACGTGTTCTCCTCGGCTTATTTAAACATCTTTAATTGTCGATAAAACAGGTACACTTAAATATTCGATTGTTATATTAGAGTTTAGAGTGATTTTTTTCTGTTTGACGATCCATTAGCGGTGTTTATCTTTGAAGCCACTCAAAAAAATCTCTACTATAGGACGAAACTGTTTCAAGCGTGTTTTTATAGGTATATATATACGTTTAATATTGATCATGTGTGTGAGCGGGACTTTTTTTGGAACAAGGATTACTTCAAAAGTCACATTTTGTAACGGTGTCATATTAGAAAACCGTTCGTCTTCGTCTGATGGTATGGAAACATGTTCAAATCAATTAAAAAGCGTCAAATATTAGGATTAAAACAAACAAATATAAAATGTCCACAGCATCCAGTAAAGAGATATTCCGTTTGAACCACTAATGTGAACCAATTGAAGAAGTCCTTGTAATCACAGATTTGATTTATTTGAAATACTGGCATTTAAAATACTTATTGAGAAAGGCATTTTGTATTTTGTTTAAAATACTTTTCCACACCTATTTTCTATTTGTAATATGCAAAATACATTTTTACGTTTTACTAGTATCACCAGTATTAAATGATGAAAGAAAGTTGCTCACATTGACCATTGGTGGTATTAGAAGCTTAAAAAGAGGACAAAGAGACATTCCATGTATACCCTCTAATTCTTTAACCGAAAAAAGCCCAAAAAATTCCAAACTCCTTGGAAATGGATAATCTAAAATATTGGATTCATATTATTTTCCGGGTTCAATTTCATGGTCCATAGAATTTGGAAGTTCCAAATTGATATCAGCACCTGCCAAATCACCACTTTTTTTTAGCAAGAAACTACGAAATTCTATGAATTACGACAAAATAGCCCTCAAAACAATATCGAATTGATATGCGCCAGCTGGAAAAACTGAAATCTATAAGATATTGTGGTGTGCTGATAAATGCACATAATTCAAAATTCTTAGAAAACGATTCGAAAAACTTCACTTATTAAATGATCTCAAAGCTAAAGAACTGTGGATTCCATTTTGTTCTCTTATTACAATGTGTAAAAAATCAGAAACAAAATGGAGTTGTAAATATTTTGATATAAAATGATTGATGTTGATTTTACATCAATAAAATTATTTGCAATCCTGTTTTGGCTCTGATCTTCCCCGCTAAACAAACTATTTTGGCATCAGTGTATTTTTTCCAATATTAAAACGGGTGACAAAGGCAAATAAGGAAGCATACAGAAGAATTATTTGTTGCTGAACTGAAGAAACTATAACATAAAGATAGAAAAACCATATCTCAATAATATCAAACAGAAAAATATGGATTTCTTGTTTGCATCAGTGGTTCAAGCCAATTCTAATTTATAAGATATTAAGGCGCGACCAGGTATCATAAAGCGACATGTGTTTTGACGAAAATAGGATTTTGGGTAACCGAAGGAAATTATTCGTAATTTTGCGCTCCTTTCTAACCAATTTTCAAATTTGGACGAGTCATATTTCCTTGCAGTGGTTCAGCCAGACGCGAATTTGATAATTCAAGAGAAGCACTTTACATTGGGTCTCCGCTTCATGGGGCCCACAGGTAGTCCCGTATTACTGTTATGGTTTTCTTGTAAAAATTAAAAATTAGGTACCTCTTATTAAGGAATTTTATAGTTTTCTTTTATTGTTAATTTTTTTTAAAGAGGTCTCCAGTATCCAAGAATGTTAGTCCACAAAAATGGTACACGTTTTTATAAAATTTAAATGGATTCCTAAAGATGCTAAACCTATTTAGTCAGTGTTTTTAGTGTAATTATTCGATTATAACTACAAATTATTACAATTTGCATACATTCTTTAAAAGAAAATGAAACTTTCTACTGTTTTCGTTTCGGTTTCCAATATTATTTATTATTCGATTCGATACTATATCCAAAATTGGACGAGGAGTAAAAATGGAAGCAGGGATTATATTCAACTTGCACCATAAACAGGCTCTGTATCGTTTTCAAGAGTCATTAGATGAAGAAGTGAGTGACGTATGGGGTTGATCAATTAAAGGGTTTTCAAGTCGGGGAAAATTATAATGCAACCTGGCTACTTCACGTCTCCCTTTAAAGACACGACAAAGACAACATAACAAACTTTATGAAGCAGAAAAGGGATGATAACCGACGTCGTGACGCGATATTTTCCTCTAGGAGGTAGAGGTTTAACGCTCTCTCGTTATGATTATGTGCGTCTTTTTAAGGGGCGACTCGACTTTATTATCGAAAGGACATTCCTTAAAAGCGTGTTGGGTACACTTAAAAGAACTCCCTTAGTTGCTTGCCGTTATTGATAAATAATTATTGTTCTTAATCGGTACAAACCTCTCAAACACTAAGTGTTGTATACCACAATTCGAGAAAAACTGAAAACATCTCCATTTATCTACAAATGTTCCAATGTTTCGTAGTTTTTATTAATTTTAATCTATTTCAAAGACATACTGTTCCAAAAACTATTGAAAAAAGAACGAACTAGAACAACTTTCAGCAAACTGAGAATAAATGTTTTCCATCACGTTTTATTTTATCTTAACTCAAAGGAAATTCTGATAACTGATATAGGAAAAAAGAATCAATTTTCACGTGGTATTTTCTGCTTGTTTCAGAACCATTAGGGATGCTGGAAATCTTAAAATTGAAAGACGCATCAGTGCAATGTAGATGATCGCCGGACGAACAAGATCAAGAAAACGTAAGAACTGCTCTACACTAAAGGTAAGATTCTTTTTGATTATTCACGAAAAACCGGCATAGGCTATGACTGATGCACATAATTAGGGAACTTTCTATATACTTAAATAGTAATGTATGTGGTTGAACGTATCAAAAAATAATTGGACGACCATCAGCAAGCGAATTTCTAGATTCCTCATTCAAAAGAAAGACTCTGCGCCCCTTAGGTACCCATTTTAGGTACATTTCACTTCATTGAAAAGACTTTTTATTTACTATTTGAATTACTTACAAGGACTAGAAGGTTCGGATGACCCGTCGGACAATTCGAACTTGGTTCTCTGAATTAATCCCATGTCGGGATGTGTGGGCATTGCGGACGGTGGTTCGGGAACCTGGGGCATCGCGGCCGGAGCTGTCGTGGACCCAGTACCGTACAAGAGTCCCAGTTCCCTGGCTTCGTTCTCTTCCTGGGCCTGTTGCCTTCGAAGGGCCACCTGAGCTGCCATTACTCTTTGCCGTTCCGCGATAAGGGTGCATTTGGCGCAGCTACAATCTCTCCATCGACAGTATCTTTTGTGACCTTTCAGTGCAGAAACGACCCCGTGATTACGGCACCTGGCGCACTTAGGAGTCCTCTGGTATCGTTCGGAGGCGCGCAAAAAGAACGCGGGCGGTATCGAGCCCAGCACGGGATGCTGAGACATGAGGGTCTGCATGTCCATGCCGCTTGGCAAGCTCATCTTCACACATGCGACGGATATTTTTTTTTGACGTGTCGCGTCGCGTATGTCGCGTCTAATCGCTCTCGTTACGCCCGCGACCAACACTACAGTGTCGCAGAGTCGATAAGGTTACAAGACGCATTTCGCTACTGTGTTCGCTGCCGCCGTTGGCCGCCTCACGGCCCCCACATCCACCAATGGCGACATGAGAAAAGGTGAGTTTACGCCCTCCAAGAGGCGAATGGCGCACGCCCACGGAACTACCGCCGCCGCCCGATGTTTACTGTATTATGTTCCCCATTATACGGCGAAGGGCATAATAGGAATACAAACTACTTTTGAATGGCAAATAAATTATACCGTTGCCGCAATAAAAGGGAACACGGAGCTGCAGCGGCGGCAGCGTCGCCGGCGGCAAAAGCGGTCGGCTCTCGTCTCCGCGCACTCACCCTCATATCCATCGCTCGTCGTTCCTTTCTTGGATTATTATTATTATCATTGTTGTTGTAATGTATGTACGTACCTACGCTATTGTGATGCGATACGTCGATACCTATATCTGTTTTTTATTTCACGAGGGGTTGAGGGGGGCCGTTGTAGCCCTTCGCATACGCGGACGATATTTAAACTCAACGTGCACGCAGATCTTGTTTGAGACCTCAAGTTAAAATCGTGACATAACATTATCGAAATGTATTGCATAATATACTGATTGATTGACCTTTGGTGACAGCCCTTTGACCGAAACAATTGAAATAGCGGGTCTTAACGACATTCTAATTGGATTGATAACATCTTGACATGTCATTTTTGCATTCCATTTTATCATTATTAACTGGAAAGTTCACATAAAACATTTTAAAACCTAATAGAAGCGTTTCAACACCAAAGATATCACCTTCAATATTTAGATACTCTCTAATATTGAACCATAAAGCATGACTACAAATCATTTAATACCGGCACATGGAACAGATAAATCATTTATACAACACAAAATGTGTAAAAGTTCCTAATAATATGCTTAATTTCAACGCGTACAGAGCCTGATAGCGCGCGCGATACCGCTTAGTGGGAATGGGTTCTTATTTTTTGAGTGAATAATAATTGTTATTTCTTAAACTAAGGGAGCATATCAGAAGATTTTTAATGGGTGTGGTATCCGTTATAAATAGATATTTTATAAAAAATTATTTATTANTTGGCAGTTCCTATTAAGTTTAGAATTACATATTCCTGTTGCTTTATTGAAATTAGGAATTCTCTAGTTCTATTAATAATGTATATTGCGTCTACAATGTTCAAGTCTTCGTTTCCTCTTTATCCCGTTTTCAAAGAAATGTGTACCTTTTTATGTGAACACTTTGCCTTATCTGCAAATTCATCATCATAAAGTCGTCGGCCTGACTAGCTGGATACGCACCTCCACTTTTCCTTATCCTGAGTTAACTTCTACATTTTCCTATAAATATCCTTAACTATTTGTGAGCAGTAATCTAATCTAGGGCTACCTCTACTCCTCTTAACTCCTGTTTCTGCCTCTAATATATCTCTGACTAGACCTTCATGCCTTAACGTTCTCTTTATTTTGTTTTAGATATCTTACTGATTTTAAAATTTTATCCATTTTTTTTCGACTCTCATTCGTATCTCAAAGTTATTCCTATTGCTATAATACGATTTTTCGTAATAAACAAAACCCTTTTACCCTTAAAAATTATAATCATCCATTATTTATTTCGAAAAAGAAATTATGCTGTCCTTATCTTACGCGTTATCTTAGCATTTCACGGGTCCGTACACGTAACACAAAGAGAGAAAGATGAACTTTGTGCCAGGTCTCATTTTCTTATTACAATACGAAACGATTCGGAGTAGAATAATGAAGAAGACATCCGGACCAGAAACATAGTAGAATTACAAATGAAATGAAGTTTCTTAAATTATTATCTTCCCCGCGCGTATTATTCTATTTGCTGTAGGTGCTGACAAAACGGCGCAACGCTTTGCGAATTTGTTCTGCATGAACGAGCACCTTTGTACTTCCATTTTCTTATTACATGGAATAAATGTTGAAAGACTTTGTGTCTCAACAACACTGTCTCTCTCTACTCCACTGTCTCCGAATTCAAATCGGAATAATAATGGATAATATAAAACTTACTTCGATGTGGCATATTTAAAAGTAGGTGTTAGGCAGGGCCGTAGCGAGGCCGGTTCAAGCGGTGCGGCGCACCGGGGCCCCCGCAGTCGAGGGGCCCCTTAGCAGTTTTCTGTTTTCAAAAAATGACTTCTTAAAAAAAACTATGCTGTTAGAGATGAGCTGAGTCAAACTACGAAATCAACATCATAATTTTTTATTTTACTTTTTTCTATATCAATTTTTGTCACAATACTCCATCTATTTGATCAGGTACGTAGTTACATGGAATGCATACATCTCGAAATCGCGAATACTTCTACATTCATGGTTTCCTTAAATCCGTTGATATAATTATCATTGCTACCATAAAAAATTACTAATTGCTGACCATAAATCTATATCACCCGAAACATCACTATAGAATTCATTGCACAAACATCAAGTGCCTGCTCTTATTTCTAAAACGTTTTTTTTTTCTCGATTTGATAGCAGCAAAATCATCAATAGTTTTATCGACATTTATTTTTCGGGCTCGCTCATTTTCAATTGACAGAATTGCTAATCCATTCAATCTCTCTTGACCCATTGTAGGTACTTCGCAAGAAATTTTTGATCAAATTTAATTTTGAAAACGATCGTTCTCCTGTCGCGACTGTCAAGTACATGAGGTACGCAGTATAAACGTCAAGATACTTTGAGATTGCTTTGGCATCACCGTGAGAGGTTACCTGCACGGGGAATCATCTATTCGTGAAATTAAAACATTTTTTTTAATGACATTTTTCTGATCATCAATTTTAAGAAGGGCCCCTTGTGGAATACCGCACCGGGGCCCCGAGCTCATCGCTACGGCCCTGGTGTTAGGAAAAGATATTTTGACGATTGAAAGACTTTTAGGGTTCCGTACCTCAATAGGAAGATGATAGGAACCCTTATAGACAGGCCCCTAGCTTAGGGTTGCCATCCGTCCGGGTTTCCCCGGATTTGTCCTAGTTTAGAGGACATCCGGGGAGCGTCCGGGTGGGCCTTCATTTGTAGTCCGGGTTTAAAAATTTAAAGTCTTGGGCCTCCCGCGACATACCCACTGTGCTCGCACACACCACGATCAACCGACGAACCGAGTCGCTATATTCACCGTCCCCCCCCCGCCCCGTTTAATTTATTTTTTTTAGGTTTCATATTTTTGTAAGGATTTGTTTTCATAACAAAGTACGTATATTAATAATTTGAGTTTTATTTTAACGATAAAAAATCTAACTGATTATTAAAACAATTTCTAACAAACGGTAATAAGATTCGGTTTTGTTAGGTACATTTAAAATGATGATAAAAAATGACTAAATTTAATTTTAAGGTCTGAAAATAAATAAAAAGGTGATTTATGACATTTTCAACGCTTTTTATTACACTGACTATGTTTAAAAAAACCTGTTGACATGTCCGGGTTCTGGACTCTGAAATCCGGGGTTTTCACGCGTCTTGTCCTGGTTTCCAAATTTTAGAGATGGCAACCCTA